CATCCAAGTCTGTGTAGCAGAGAACGACCATGAATTTCTAACATTCTTCTGCCTCCCTCTCTCCTGAGAGCTATGGTTTATGCAGTACTGGGGACTGAACTTCATACACGCTAGACAAGCACTCTATCACAAGCTGAGTACCCCGGCTTGTGTTTCTATTTTGTTGTTTGGTTTGAGACAAACTCTCTTGTAGCCCAGTGACAGGCTTATGCCACCATGCCCACTGACCCAACCCATGTTTTTTAGTACATTGGATGCCCAGACTGCTACTATGAAATGACACAGTTGTGGTTATATATTGTGTACCCTAATAAACTTGTATGAAGGTCCGAGGACAGAGCCAGCCACTAGATTAAACACAGAGGCCAGACAATGGTGGAATACACCTTTAATCCTGTCACTCGGGAGGCAGAGATCCATCTGGATCTCTGTGAGTTCAAGGCCACACTGGAAACAGAGCCAGGCAGTGGTGGCACATACCTTTAATCCCAGTACTGGGAAGCACACATGCCTTTAATCCCAGGAAGTGACATAGTTAGGCGGAGAAAGGTATATAAGGCGTGAAGAAACAGGAACTAAAGCAGTTCAGCTGAGACCCTTTCAGATGAGGACCCACAGGCTTTCAGTCTGAGGGAACAGGATGGCCTGAGGAACTGGCAAGATGAGGTTGGCTGTGGCTTGCTCTGCTTCTCTGGTCTTTCAGCTTTCACCTCAATATCTGGCTCCAGGTTTTTTATTAGAAGACCATCTAAGTTTTGAACAACACATACTTTTTTACTGTACCACAGTCATGACATCAGATTTGTCTGATTTTCTTTACCGTTTAATATTCACCCAGGTTCCAAATACACAGTGTGGTAAATAAGAGGCTGTTTGAGCATTAATAAAAATTATCTTTAAAAAGTTTCGGTTTAGAAAAAAATTTCCCCTCCAGAGCAGGCATGGCAGTACATACCAGCATGGGAGAGGAGGAAGCAGGAGAATTGACAGTTATAGCCTGTAACACATAGCAATATCTGGTCTTAAAATGCAAAGGGGGGAATGGGGAATAGAACAAAAACAAAGCTTACCATCTGCCCTGTCACTGAGAAAGCAAGCCTTTGTTTCCCGAACTCTTGTAAATATTAACTCTCGTAAAGATTTCAAAGATAACCAGTTAAGATAATAAAACCCTAAGAGACCACGGTTAAAACTGCTAACAAACACAGAAGTCTGGGCTCCAGGTTACTGAGAAAAGTAAGACGGGCTTACTGGGTTGTCTGCTGTACTGCTCTCTTCCTTAGGCTTTCTACTGCTGTGAAAAGACACCCACCATGACCACAGCAACTCTTATAAAGGAAAATGTTTAATTGTGATGGCTTACAGTTCAGAGGTTTAGTCTGTAATCATTATGGCAGGACCTGATTGCATGCAGGCAGGCATGGTGCTGGAGAAGGAGCTGAGAGTTCTATATCTTGATCTCCAGGCAACAGGAAGTGAACTGTAGCAGGTGTAACTTGAGCATAGAAGATCTCAACACCCACCCCCCACAGTGACACACCTCTTCCAACAAAGCCACATCTACTTCAACAGGTTCACACCTCCTAATAGTGCCACTCCCTATTAGCTTATGGGGGCCAATTACAATCAAATCACCAAAACTACCAAGTATAACACTCTGATAAATGTGGGTGACCCTCTCTTCAGATGCCTCTCTCTGGGGCAGCAGTTCTCAACCTGTGTGTCACACCCTCTTTGGGGATCCAATGACCCTTTCACAGGGGTCTCCTAACACCATCTGCATATCAGATATTTACATCACAATTTGTAAGAGTAGCAAAATTACAGTTATGAAGTATCAACGAAAATAATTTTATGGGGGGGGGTCACCACAACATGAGGAACTTTATTAAAGGGTTGCAGCATTAGGAAGGTTGAGAACCACTGTTCTAGGGCATGTAATGCTGTCCTTTCTTTAAATGTTTTTATTAACATATATTAATCATATATAATAATGGGCTTCATTATATCATTTTCATATGTGCATAATGTATTTTGTCAAATTCACCCCCTTTACCCTTTCTTGTCCCTCTCACTTATACTAATATCCTTTCTCTTCCAAACTAGTCTTGTCTTTCTACTTTCACATCCTGTGTGTGTGTGTGTGTGTGTGTGTGTGTGTGTGTGTGTGTGTGCATGCGCTCACATCAGTGAATTTCATTAGGATATTTATAGAAGCATGGATGAGAGTTTGTTTACAAAAACATGGGTATCAGAGCAATAGCCACACTAGTGAAGCAGAAGTCTTTCCCTCTCCCACCTGCCGTTAACTGTGTATCAATCTTCAGGAGAAATGAGGCTTCATAATCTACTTCCTGTCTGTGGTGGTTTGAAAGAAAATGGCCCCCAAATAGAGTGGCACCATTAGGAGGCGTGGCCTTGTTGAAGTAGGTGTGGTCTTGTTGGAGGAAGTGTGTCACTGTAGGGGCAGGCTTTGAGGTCTCTTTTGCTCAAGCTTCCCTCAGTGTGACTTTCAGTCAACTTCCTGTTGCCTTCAACATGTAGGACTCTCAGCTACTCCTCCAGCACCACATCTGCCTGCATGCTGCCATGCTCCCCACCATGATGATAATGGACTGAACCTCTGAAACTATAAGCCACCACCACCTTAATGAAATGTTTTCCTTTGTAAGAGTTGTGGTCATGGTGTCTCTTCACAGCAATAGAAACCCTAACTAAGACACCCTCCCATGACAAGGTATTGACAGGTCTATCCTAATTTACTGTGATAAAGACCATGACCAAAAGCAGCTTAGGGAGGAAAAGGTCTTTTGGACTCACACATTCCGATGACGGTCCGTCACTGAAGCTCAAGCAGGGCAGGAACCTGAAGGTAGGAACGGAAGCAGAAACCATGGAGGAATGCTGCTTACCTGGTTTACTGTTCATGCTTGCTAGACCTGGTTTCCTTATAACAACCCAGGACCACCTGCCTAGTAATTGGCACTGCCCAAAGTGGGCTGGCCCTCCCACATCAATCATTAATCAGCCTGTGTGACACACAGGTTGCGAACTGCTGCCCTAGAGAGGAGGCATCTGAAGAGAGGGTCATCCACATTTATCGGAGTGTTATACTTGGTAGTTGTGGTGATTTGATTGTAATTGGCCCCCATAAGCTAATAGGGAGTGGCACTATTAGGAGGTGGCCTACAGGCCAATCTCGTGATGGCATTTTTCTCAGGTATTTCCCTCTTCCTAGAGGACTTGTATCACGTTGAGAAAAATCTAACCAGCATAAAGTCCTGTCTAGTGCAGGTAATTACAGCTGTTGTGAGTTTAAGTGTGCCACAGCCCTGTCGTGCCTGGGAGTCAGTCATCCCAACCTTCCCTGTCCCTTTCTCTCCAGCACTTACATTCTTGCCCTCATTTCTGTGATGTTCCCCACTGAGCCATGGAGTGGGTGATACAAACATTCCATTTCTATCTGAGTATTCAACAGTCACTTTTTTTCTCCTCTCTTGTGTATTTCATTCTGTGTGCATTGGTGTTTTGCTTGCATATATGTCTGTGTGAGGGTGTCCGATCTCCTGGAACTGGAGTTACAGACAGTTGTGAGCTACCGTGTGAGGGCTGGACATTGAACCCTTGTCCTCTGGAAGAGCAGACGGTGCTCTTAACCCACTGAGCCATCATCTCTCCCAGCCCCAACAGTCACTTATTCTCAACACATTGACCAATTATGTCTCTGCAGTCAGGCTGGCTACTGCAAAAGCAGCTTTTCCAATGAAAGTTGATCCTTCTTTTTAAGCTTCCTCCCTTCCCCCAAATGCCCATGCTTAAATGTATATAAAAACTGTTCTTCTTCATAAACTCAGATTTAGCTTCCCCCAAAAATAAAATAGCCATGGAAGAAAATGTAGAGTGAAAGAGGCAGAGGAAAAAACACCCTGACTCTGACTTGACCCCAGGGCCAGGGCTTGAAATCCCACTAATCCCTGAGCTTTCCCCAGAGTCAGGCCACAAAACCCCACCAATCCCAATCCCCACCACCACCACCCCCCACCACCACCCCACTGAGAAACCCTATATAAGCTCTGTACCCTGTTCAGGTTTGCGGCTGCTTCTCACCCTGGAGGCAACTGCCCTCCTGGATTCTTCCTTTCCAATAAACCTCTCCAGTAAGGTTTGTTGTGTGGTGTGACATTTTTGCCGAGCAGAGCCCAACTGTAACAACTTTTGCCAGAGCCAGAGCAAAGCAGAACTGTAACACTTTCGCTGAGGGAAACTTTCCCTTAGCAGAGCAGAGTTGTTAGACTCCAGGGGATGTGAGCAGAGCTGAAACACTTCTCCAGAGAAGAAAGAGCAAAGCTGTAACAACGTTGCTGGGGAAACCATCTCCTCTGGAAACCCTCCTCCTTCCCCTGGAGCAGAGTTGTAAACTACTACACTTACAGTGACTTTGTGATCTTCCTTGACTGCCAGGATACCTTTCCATCCAAACTGCAACACTTACAGAAAACTGCTTTTAAATCTTGAGAATCTCTGAAGAGTGTGTCTCAAGCCCTGAGTTCAAAGCCCAGCACTGAAAAGAAAATTGGATTTTCTCCACTCACACCGGAGTGTGATTTGAACTCTAACCCAATCCCTTGCAAAATGGAAATAGAAAGTAGTGATTGGCACTGTTGTGTGCCATGGGATGTTTGCTTCTGTTGGGGGAACCCTTGTTGGAATTCCTGGCCACTCCCCCAGCTACATGACCGCACATACGCAGTTCAGTAGCCAAGTAAGGAGCCTTACGTCCTACGTAATCCATGTGCTGCATGATCACACAAGCTATGCACATGCGTGGCGTAGCTCTGTAAACCCATATGCACATGTGCAGGGGAATCCATAAGATTCCCAGCCTTCCCACCCCACTACTCCCCACCCCCACCGTCTCTCTTTGTTGTGTCTTCCACAGGCCTGGTCACGCTCTCTTCTGTCCCTCCCTTCTCCTCATAAAACTCTGATAGTGGGTTTTGTTGTACCTTGTGGATTTTCTCGCAGGGTAACAGCGCTGCTTAATGAATAACATTGCAATGTTGGTTTTAACGCAGAAGCGCCCAATGTTATTCATTAAGTTTGATGGCATGCTAACCTTGTCCTGCTTTCTAGAGACTGACTTGCTATTTCAGTTGGATGGCTTGGGGCTATAGAAAGCAGTAAGTTAGGCAGGGCAAGTGCCTGGGAACCCTATGTCCTTTATCACTCCTTCCGGCCTCCTAATCTCCCAGAGGACTCTCCTCCAGTGCCGTGGAATGTTCCTGTGACCCCTGAACTTGCCACCATGGAGTCCTAAGGTTCTGTTGCTCTGACAACCCATTACCCACAGTGTCTGTATCAGAGCTGCCAAGGTTCTGGGAGAAAGAGACCTGAAGCAGGGTCACAGCTGTTGAACATTTACATTCAGCTATGACTAGTCTTTCTGTGTTCAGGGACATACCCCCTGCCCAGAAGCTGGAAGGTAGCTTACTAAAGACCTACAGACACGATGATTATCCTAGCAAGATGTTCCTGGCCTACAAAGGTAGGGGCCAATCATTTCAGGGTTTAAGGTTTTCTACACATTTTGACTGGCTGTAAGTGGGCAGTGGCCCCAGTGGAGGAATGAAGAATAGTCCATGCCCCTGCAGTTGGAAAAGCTTTAGTATATTTAGTATATTATATATACTATATTTATATTTAGTATATTATATATAGTATATTTAGTATATTAACAAAACTGCCTAGGAGAGCACTGAGGATTCCAAGTCATCCCATTCCCTGTGCCCTTTGCTGAGGACTTCTGGGAATTTGGGAGGAGCCAAGTCTTCTTCTCTATCGATAGAGTACCTGCCAAGCATTCCTCAAGCCCTTCATTCAATCCCTAGCAAATAAACCAAGTATGATACTCACCTGTAACCCCAGCATCTGAGGGGTGGAGGATCAGATGTTCAAGGTCATTCTCAGCTACAAAGCAAGTTCAAGGCCAGCCTGGGAAGCTTAATGAGAGGGGGAGAGGACAAGGAAAGACAGACAGACACAGACAGACAAAAAGACACAGAAAGAGAGGGGCAGAGACAGACAGAGAGCCCTTCTCATATGGAATCAGGCCTCCCCATCATGAAAGCCAGAGCGTACTTTGTTTAACTTATTGAATGTCTAACTTATTTTGTATGTAAATTGTAAACTTTAAAATGCATAGGTTTCAGCTGCCTTTGTTGCTATTCTGTTTTGTTTGTGGTTTTTGTTTTTCAGACCATGTCTTGCTCAATAGCTCAGGCTGGCCTGAAGCTATGGACCAGGCTGGCCTGAAAATGATCCTCCTGCCTCCTCCCCTCCTTAGTGCTGGGGTGACAAGCCTGGGCCATCAAGCCTGACTTAGCGGAGGTTCTTGTTGTTGATGGTGGTGGTTGTGGTTGATATACTGTGCACCCCAAAAAACTTATCTGGGGGTCAGAGAACAGAACAGCCATTATAATAAACATAGGTTTAGGCAGTGATAGCACATGTCCTTAATCCTAACATTCGGGAGGCAGAGATCTGTCTGGATCTCTGTGAGTTCAAAGCCACACTGGAAACAGCCAGGCATGGTGACACATGCCTTTAATCCCAGGAAGTGATAGCAGGAAGCAGAAAGGTATATAAGGCCTGAGGATTAGGAACTAGAGCCTTTTTAAAGCTTTTAGCTTTTAGCAGCAGTTTAGCTGAGATCCATTCAGATGAGGACTCAGAGGCTTTCAGTCTGAGGAAACAAGATCAGCTGAGGAATTGGTGAGGTGAGGTTGGATGTGGCTTGTTCTGTTTCTCTGATCTTTCAGCGTTCACCCCAATACCTGGCTCCGGGTTTGTTTTTATTAATAAGACCTTTTAAGATTTGCGTTACAGGTGGTGTTTTGTTTTTAAACACAATCGCTGTTTTATGAAAAGAAGCAAGAAGGGAGGAGAGAGAGAGAAATATAAGTGTTCATGGGTACTTTCCAAAGCCCCAAGAAACACACACGAGACTTGTGGTTTATGGGCCACTGTCCCAGAGACCCCAAGACTGGGCACACAGAACTCCCTTTGACGTTTCTCCACAGTCTGCATGACCGAACAAGGCTATCCCTGGATTTCTCTCGTGGTGCGCAGGACTCGCCTGCAGATTTCACAGGACCCCCTCTCTGAACTATGAATACTTACCCAGGATGGGCATGAAATCATTCATCCAAGCCGCCTTGGAACTCCTCTTTGGAAAACACAGCCAAGCCATTGCTGAGAAAAGGGTGAGGCACCGAGAGGAGATACAGGCCTGCATGACACACAAGGGCCTCCACCTTGACAAAGGCAATTCCCAAGACTCTGAAAGTCCATAGATTTTGCACTGGGAAGCCAAGCTGGGATCTGAGTCTAAATCCTTCTCATTCAGTCACTCAGTTGCACCCACCCCCGCTGCTGGTTTGAAAATTCTAAGTAGGTCATTTCAATATAAAAGGAAAAAGAGGGGTTGGGGATTTAGCTCAGTGGTAGAGCACTTGCCTAGCATGCACAAGGCCCTGGGTTCGGGTCCTCAGCTCCGGGGGGGAGGGGGGGGGAGCTGAAATGCTGAGCATGTGTAAGGCCCTCAGTCCAACCTCAGAACCAAAAGTAAGACAAAAATCTGAGTCTGGGGTCTGCCGGTGTGACCCCCGATCCTTTAAAATGTTCCTTTCACGTACTGCTTGCTGACAGGTAGGGGGTGTGCACACTGTTGGTGACAGTGGAGCCTTCCAGCTTGGGGCCCAGTTTCTCAGGACGTGGCGTAAGAATTTGAAAACCGTTTGCATTGTCTCATGTCAAAAGGGTGAGTGTTGCCAATTCCTGCCCTGTGTGTCATCCTCCGCTCTTACCCTCACTACCTGTCAGGAGGAAAAAAATGGTGGCTATGCCAAGCTATGTCCACCCTTTTCCTGTGACTGTCCTACGTCAGTCAGTAATCCTTACCCCACCCTCTGGCATCTCTGCCGCCTGTTTCTCCATTCCCATGGACCCGAGCTGGTGGGGGGTCTGTGTTCCCACAGAACAGTATGGACTCATCTTCCAGGACATGGGCTTTACAGTGTATGAATACTGCATCTGGAACCCCAAGGAGTTGTGCCCAGACCCCACCTTGTTCTTCGATTTGATGGAGGTAGGAGGTCCCCCACTCAGAATCGTCTCCCTCTATAAACCTGGCTTATGGCCTATTCTTCCCCCTGACTTGTGGGCCTTCGATTGGCTTGGATTTGCCAGGATTTTTAGTGAGAATAAACCTAAGAGATTATTATTTCTCCTCGAAATGCCTGGTGTCACCGCCACATGGTTAGAGGTGGTGCCTTGATGAGACAAGTGTCTTCCTACAGCATATCCCAGCTGACAGTATCCTTGTGATTGGGAACATTATTGACTGCAGGTTCACGCAAACTCAGTGGACAAATCTGATGTCCATCATTAAGGTCAGCAGAACTTCCTGCCACGCTCCCCCCGGCCCCTATCACATCTGCTTCTCCCCAGCAACCTCGTTCTTTTGGATTTTTTTTTTTCTTGCAGAGCAAGCATATATTCCCATTCTTTGACGTTCCCTGTCAAGGTCTGTCCACAGGTGACCTGGAAGAAGACACCAGACTCTTACAGTATTTTGTGTTCCTAGGGTTTGAGTTCTTCTGCAGCCAATCTCTGTCCAAGAGTTTTGGCATTTATGGTATGGTATGGGCAGAAGGGTAAGAGAAATGGGGAACAAAAGTGTTGTCATATCCATCACACAAGTGATTTTTTTTTTTAGTGAGCTTACAAAATAATGAGCTTCTTATAATGTTCTCTCTGTCTGTCTCTGTGTCTCTCTCTTATACACACACACACACACACACACACACACACACACACACACTCATATTTACCCCCACTGCCCTACCTTACCCCTCCACCAAAGGATAGATATTTTCGACATCACTTGTCCCCTGGAAGAAGGCTAGTACTCCAGAGAATCGCAGTGTGAGCAGAAAAGAGCACCCTTGAGCTAGAAGTCGGGCTCTGTGACTAAACCCAGCTACCCAAGTTACCCATACCTGTTCTAATTAAACTTTCACCCTCTCTGGCGTCTGCCTCCTCTGCCGGAAGATGAGGAGGAAGTACTTGGCAAATCTTTCAAGCTCTCTCCTCCGTGCACACTCTTGCTTGTGGACGCTCTTTCTGCTTTGGGGGGGGGGGGGGGTCAAATACTACCCTGGCTGGGCTGAGCTGGCGGCTCCACGGCTTAGCCCTGTCTCCTGCAAGGTTGGAGGGAGAGGTGGAGGTGGGATTCTGAGCCTAAGGGAGGAGACCGCGGGGTGAAGCTGTCTTTTTCTCAATGCTGCAGATGAAGGAGTGGGGATCCTAGTTGTAGCAGCCCTCAGCAACCAGGACCTGCTGTGCGTCCTCTCGCAGCTGATGAACAATGTCCAAGCCCTGTGGGGAAACCCTCCCGCCACAGGTGCCCGGATAATCACTTCCATCCTCTGTAACCCTGCTCTGCTTGTAGAATGGTAAGGGGTGGGAGGGACTGGGCAAGGGAGAGCGACTAGGGCTCCCACATTCCTACAGACTGCCCGGCTCACGGGATCCACCCAAGTGCTTCTTTTTCTCCTATGTGGCCTCTGTATCCCACTCACTCATGCACACAGCCATCAAATATTACTGAGGGCCTTTCTGTGTGCCGTGGCTCTAGCTATGCCAAGGGCTGCCCTGCCTTGCAGGGAGTGGACAATGGCACCTTTATTTTAGAAATAAGTCAATGAGTTAGTTATCTGAACACTTCCAGACTGATGGAACCCATTATTTTGTACATAAGCACACGCACGTGCACACACACACACACACACACACACACACACACACACCACACACACGAGAGAGAGAGAGAGAGAGAAAGAGAGAGAGAGAGAGAGGAGGGATAAGATGAATTGCTAAACAATCTTATTAATAATAAGATTAATAAGATTAAAAATAAGATTAAAAAAAAACAGGAGCCAGATATTGGAGTGAAAACTGAGAGATTAGAGAAGCAGAAAGAAGCCAGCCATCTTCTTACCGATAGGAAATCCTCAGCCCAAGAGAGAGCTTCTTCCTGTATATGCACCTATATACCTTTCTGTGCCCTGCCATCTTACTTCCTCTCTCTGCCCAGCTACATCACTTCCTCTTTCTGCCCAGCTCTATCACTTCCTGTCTGTCTGTACAGACCTCCAGACCTCTATGGTTAACTAGCACTGGGATTAAAAGTGTGTGCCACCACGCCTAGCTCTGTTCCCAGTGTGGCCTTGAACTCGCAGAGATCTGGATGGATCTCTGCCTCCCAAATACTAGGGTTAAAGACGTGTGCTACCACTGCCTGACCTCTATATTTAATATAGTGGCTGACTTTTTCCTCTGATCCCCAGATAAGCTTTATTGGGGTGCACAAATAAAATACAGAGAGAGAGAGAGAGAGAGAGAGAGAGAGAGAGAGAGAGATCTGGACCTGACACATTGCTCCGCAGGTAAAGGTACTTGCTGCCAAGGCTGATGACCTCAGGACCTGATGATTCCCAGGACCCACGTGGTGGAAAGAAAGATCCTACTCCTACAAGTTGTCCTCTGACCTACACACATACACACACACACACACACACACACACACACACACACACACACACTAAAACTAAGGAGGCAAAACCTGGGAGTCTACTTTTCATGCTTAAATTAGTATGGGGCCTGGGTCACTCAGCTTCCTGTTACTGCACTTGAGAATACTTGATGGGATTAACACCCCTCCCCCAGAAAAGAAAGGTTTGTGTTCACTCTCAGTTTTGGAAGTTCAATTGATAGTGTCCCTGGATCCTAGGGTGCAGCAACACATGGTGGTAGAGTTTGGGGTAACAAATGTTCACCTTATGATGTCCAGAAAGCAAACAGAGGTAATGAAGGAGCAGGACTCCTAATAACTCCCCACCCCAATGACCTAACTTCCTCCCACAACCAATAGTGACACAGCCTTTAACACGTGGGCCTTGAGGAGACGTTTAAGACCCAAACTACAGCAGAATCAAATCCCCTTCCCCCCATAGGTGCCACGGAGCCCAGGTTCCATCCATGTGCTTCCTGACATGGGTCAGGGCACGGAAAAAAATAGGAAGAGGGGAAGCTACATTGGGAAGCGAGGAGACCCCTCAGTCCCGTTTCTTCCTTCTTGCCTTGGCAGGAAGCAGAGTCTAAAAAGTGTTGTGGAGAACGTCATGCTGATCAAAGAGAAGGTGAAGGAGAAGCTTCGGCTCCTGGGGACCCCTGGGTCCTGGAATCACATCACCGAACAGAGTGGAACCCATGCCTATCTGGGACTCAACTGTAAGTTCCAGAACAGGACAACTCTCCCCTTCCTTACCCCAGACCTATGTTTTAACACTGAGCAGCACTGACTGGATGATCAGTTTGCAGCTCTGCTCTGGGCTTTCCTCACATCCTTGGAAAAGTGAGGCTGCTTCAGAGCGTTCTAGAACCCCACTGATGCTGACACTTCTTATTCTCTAATTCTGCCTGGGCTTGAGAGGAAATATGAGCCCTGTGACTGTCCCAGATCAGCAGGTGGAGTTCCTGATCAAGAAGAAGCACATCTACATCCCTAAGAACAGCCGCATCAATTTCACCTGCATCAATTCCAGGAACATAGACTACATCACACAGAGCATCCACGAGGCAGTGGTGATAACGGAGGGCTGAAAGGGGTAGTCTTCCCAAAGCTGCCCCTGATTGGAATGAAAGCTTTATGTCATCTTTGAAAAAAAATACTGAATTAATTATGCATTACTATGCTCACTCTTTCATTTATTTATGAAGCAATGTGCTGGCCTGGGGTGGGGGAGGAGCTTCAGTGCAACACACGCCAAGCATAGGTGGAAACCTAGATTCCATCCCCAGGAGATGGGTGTGTGTGTGTGTGTGTGTGTGTGTGTGTGTGTGTGTGTGTGTGCAAGAACAATTATCCTCATAGGACATGGTTCAGTTCCTAGCCATGTGGTTGGTACCAAAGTGAACAGAAGTCAGTAGATATTGAGAGGTGCGCTGTGTGTGTGCACACACATGTGCATGCACATATGTACTTAGTTTCAAGTGAGTGCAGTTGTCAACATTCATCTGGTGTCTCTTCCAGAAACACAAGCCAAGTTGTGCTCAAGTTGTTTCCTAATATGTCAATCATATTTGAGAAATCAAAAGGCTGAACCAAAATTCATGTGTAGACACTTAAAATTACTTTACCAGAATTAATTTTGAAAGAGATCAAAGATGAAATGTTGTTGGCAGACTTTGCTTTGGGCTTCCAACTCACAAAAAGCAACTGGGAGACTCATTAATTATGAAAGCTCGGCCAATAGCTTAGGCTTATTTCTAACTAGCTCTTACAACTCAAATGAACCCATTTCTATCAATCTACGTGTTTTCACATGACTCATGGCTTTTTACCTCTCATCAGCATATCATGTTTATCTTGCTTCCCTACGAATCTCCTGGCATCTCTGCCTTCTTTCTTCCCAGTGTCCTCCGTGTCTGAAAATGCTGCCAAGCTTGGCCACTTTTTATTAAACCAATGAGAGCAACACATCTTCACAGTGTACAAATATTCTAGAACAAATGGCTGTCTTAGTCACCATTCTATTGCTGTGAACAGACACCGTGACCAGGCCAACTTATAAAAGAAAGCATTTAACTGGGAGTGTGTTTACTGTTTCAGAGGGCTAGTCCATGACCATCATGGCAGGGAGCATGTCTGCAGGCAGGTGTGGCACTGGAGCAGTAGCTGAGAGCTCATATCTTGATCTACAAGCAGGAAGAAAAAAGAGAGAGAAATGGGGCCTGGCATTGACTTTTGAAACTCAAAGTCCACCCCCAGTGACACATCTCTTCCAAAGGTCACATCCCCTAATCCTCCCTAAACAGTTCCACCAACTGGAACCCAAAGATTCAAATATAGCTCATGGGGGCCATTCTCATTCAAACCACAATAGCTGATGCTACCTAATTTCTAGTGTTACACATTATAATAATCAAGGTCTTGTGGCCTAAAAAGCAAGTAGATCAACGAAACAGAATAGTGTCCAAAAATAAACATTCCTGCTTATGAATAACTGGCTTCTTACAAAGATACAGGAGCAACATAACAAATTATGCCACGAAGGCTAGATCTGAAGGGAGGAAAGGAGGGAAGAAGAGAGAGAAAGAGGAAGTGTGTGGGTTCTTGCAAATGTGTGTAAGTGTAGTGGAGGCCAGAGACCCACCTCTCCCTGGAGCTAGAGTTACAGGTGGTTGTTGGAAACCAAACTGAGGCCCTCTGCAAGAGCAGTGTGGAACCATCACGTGTACCAGGCTGGCCTAAAACCCTCAGAGATCTTCCCATCTGTGTCTCCCAAGAGCTAGGATTAGAAACATGTACCACCACATCCAGCATAATATAGTACTTTTAAATGAGCAAAAGATTGATTGTCTTAAAGGGTGAAGGGAGTTGAGGGGCAGGGAACAGAGAGGGATCACCACTGGATCCCTTTGGAGAGAAGTGATGTATGCTCACTAATTTGATGGTGGTGGTAACTCACAAATGCACACACACACATCAAAACTCATCAGATCGCAGGCTTCCAATGTGTGTGTCAAACTAGACCTCAATTTTTACCAAGTAGGATGGAGGACATCTGTAATTCTAGCACTTGGGAGGCTGAGGCAGGAGGATTGCAAATTCAAGGCAAGCCTAAGCTATATGTTGACATGATCCTTTCTCAAAAAATATACGTCTATACATATGAAAAATGTACATGCATACATAATAAAACCTCAATAAGAATTCGTATATGAGAAGAATGATAGTGAAAAGTTGAGAGGCCAGTGTGGTACAGAATCCTTATGAAAGCAGAGGACAGGGGCTGGAGAGATGGCTTAGCAGTTAAGAGCACTGGCTGTTCTTCCAGAGGTCCTGAGTTCAATTCCCAGGAACCACATGGTAGATCACAACCATCTGTAATGAGATCTGGCGCCCTCTTCTGGCCTTCATGCAAACAGAACACTGTATACATAACAAATAAATCTGAAAGAAAAAGAAAGGAAGGAAGAAAGAAAGAAAGAAAGAAAGAAAGAAAGAAAGAAAGAAAGAAAGAAGGAAGGAAGGAAGGAAGGAAGGAAGGAAGGAAGGAAGGAAGAAGAAAGAAAGAAAGAAAGAAAGAAAGAAAGAAAGAAAGAAAGAAAGAAAGAAAGAAAGAAAGAAAGAAAGAAAGCAGAAGACAGAAGGCGAAGGCTGCTGGGGAGATCAACATGCTGGGTGGTCAGGTTAATCACTAGGCTACAGGCGTGTGAGTTGGTGGCTAGGTGGAATGGAAGAAGAAATTATGTTAAGGTGGAGCTATTGATGCACTCCTTAAATACAGGTCCTACTGTAGCCGCCTGTTTTGAAAGAGGGTGATTTTCCTGCCAGGCATGTTGTCTCCCCAGTCAAGGCATAGACAGCAACAATGTTTATTCTCAGATCACGTTCTCCTGCTATACAGACTCCCAGCCCAGGGAATGGAACCACCATAGTGGGGGCGGGGGATCTTCCTAAACCAACCTAATCAAGATAACCTCGAACAGGCATGCCCAGAGGCCCATTTCCCAAGTCCATCTAGATCGTACCCAGTTGACGTTCGAGATTAACCGTCACACCGTGTCTGAAAAATAATAAAACAATAACAATAATGTAAAATCACATGCACGAAAGCCACAGACAACACGAAAGGACTGAAAATGAGTGATTTGTTAGGGACGGCCGCAAGTGGGCAACGTTACTATTTCACCTGTTGCGTTATGGAGTGGAATTAAAATGGGGAGGGAAACACTTCCTTTGTGGGAGATAATTGCCAGTCTACGTGAGCGGCTCAGCCCAAGACGCTAGAGACAGACAGGCTTAGGTTCCAAAGATGGTCAGGACACCTCAGAAGGTAAGAACAGTCACTAGCTGCTTTGTGAGCGGTTACTGTGTTGTAGAGATTATGGGCTGCAGAGCTGTACCGTTCCAAGAGGTTTAAATCCATCATTTCGTTTAACACTCTAATAATCCACTGATGAATTACGACGATTACTATTGTGATTTTTACCATCCTGCTCAATCACACTTTTTCATGTATGGGATGAATGAATGAGTGTGTGTGTGTGTGTGTGTGTGTGTGTGTGTGTGTGTGTGTGTGTGTATTCTGTATAGTTTCTGTTCCTTTAGGGAACCCTGACTAGCACACCAATCCAGTCACTTTCCACACCATTATTCTCTCATTTTCAACACCATGGGCTCTTGCACATCACATGCCCTGTTCCAAGCAGGGCTACGGGGGTCTCAGAGTTTCTGTGCCCTGAGCCAACTGTATTGTGATGGCTAAACTTATATTTTAAGTTTAAATCACTGTGATTAATAGATCTATAGAACAAAAATGCCTCTAACCTGTAAGCCCTCTTGCCCAAGGACAGATAACAGGGTTGGTTGCCCAAGTGCATAGGATGTACTTGATCACACACAGGCAGGGGCTACATAGGCCGGAAGTATGTCAGGATGTATGCTTGCCCCATTGGATGAAGGTGGGATGTGGGTTTTGCCTTTATAGGCACCGGACTCACATAATTCCGTGGCCATTCTCTGGGAATCCTGGGTATGAACCTAGCTAGTGCCCATCGTCCTGGTCAGTCTTTGATACAGCCTGCAAATTTGACTCAAAAATTGTGGTCATGGTCTTATGTAGACGAATTTCTAAACAGTCTTATTAAATAAGAAACACAGAGCCAAATACAGAGTTAATAGCCAAAGAGATCAGAGAGCCACAACTACCTAATCTTACCACCTCATTACCATTGCTTCTCCAGAGAGAGTTTCTTCCTGCCTGACATGTTTTTATTACCTTTCAGTTCTGCCTTCTCATTGGCTCTAAACCCAAACCACATGACTTCCTCATCACTGCCTGTCTATACAGACCTCCAGGTCTCTGTGGTTGGTACTGGGATTAAAGGCTCTTGTCACCATACTTGGCTGTGTCCTTGACCACATAGAGACTCTGCCTGCCATGTGATCAGATTAAGGGCGTGGGCCACCACTGCCTGGCTGCAGTTTCTGGCTCACTATGACCTCTGATCTCCAGGCAAACTTTATCTATTAATGTACAAATAAAATCACATTTCAGCACAAATAAAATGTCACCATAGTCTTATTCTTGCCCAGTGGGATTAGCAATACATACTGCCTTGGGGACACCTAATTGGTAAAGAGCTGCATCCTATCAGGCTGACCAGAATTTAAACACAGCAGAGTGGGAATTGGTTCCATTGCACTTCATAGAACTGAGAGACCTATTGCCCACCTGAGGACACTTAGAACTGAGAAATGATTCGCCTACCACTTGAACTTCAGGGACAGTCACATCTAGTGGCTACAAAAAATGTCACCTTCTAGGTGGTCAAGCACAACATCCTGTACAGTTGAGGCAACCAAACTTGTTTACAGAAGCTAAAACACATAGCTTGTTATCTCACATGAACAACAGCCCCCAGCATTCTAGGAACTGATCTGTCCTTGGGCAAGTGGGTCTTACAGGTTCAAGGCACTTTCGTTTGGGAGGTGGTGGCGCACACCTTTAATCCTAGCACTCAGGAGGCAGAGGCAGGCGGATCTCTGTGAGCTCAAGGCCAGTCTACAGAGTGAGATCCAGGACAGGCACCAGAACTACACAGAAAAACCCAGTCTCAAAAAAACCAAAAATATAGTAATTTAGTTTAAACATAACTTTAGCCCTCACATTCCCTCTGCCCAGCAGCACTTGTCTACCCTGCTTCCCCACCCCCAGGTACCAGCTCTTACAAGACAAGTAGATACCAAGCACTGAGAGGTGGTGGGCTCTCTGCCAGCAGCCTGAGTTCTGTCTGATCCTCTCTTCCAGACAAGGCGAACACATCCCTGAGTCCCTGCAAATCTGACCCAGACCACAGAGAAGTTAATTTGATCCACACAGCATACTTAGTAACCCCCTATGTGGCCTCTCTGTCCCTTTCTCCAGACAGAGTCCCTGGCTGGCTAAGAATGCAGCTATTCCCTCCCTGTCTGGCTTGTTTATAAATTAAGCCCCCTG